AAGGTCCTTGCTATATCAACTACGGCGCGATTATCTCGTTCAGTTGAACCATTTTGTTCAGGGTCCTTATTCTTGAAACAGGGGAGCAGCGTTCCCAGGAGAACGAGTGTTTCGTCTTAGTCACTTATATTATCATTTGCATATCATTGAGAAAGACGGAACACTCGTTCTCCCTGGGATCGTTGCTTCCCTGTTTCAAGAATAGGGACTCTAGGAGTGTACAGAGCAGTTAGCATTGTTTTCATTCCATTTTTGCGAAGTATTATCAAATTCTTTACCATTGTCACTAAGTAAGTAGCTCTCTTATCCACAATAACATCAAACAAGTAGGTAGGTACTTACATACATTGTGGGGCACGAAAAACTTCCCACCCAGATTCTCTCAGGTGTTAGGTGATACATAATAATAAGTCTGTTCGCACAGAAATCACAAACCAGTCAGAGTGAATTTCATTGGTTGAAACTAGTTTTCTGATTGTTTCTGACTATTTTCAACCAATGGAATTCACTCTGACTAGTTTGTGATTTCTCTGCGAACAGACCTATTATATGATAGACTTTGATATGATCACCTGAGTGGGGAGTTTTTCGTGCCCCACCAATTACAATTGACAATCTTTACATTATACATGCAAGACATTTGTCATTTTTTTTTTAAATACACTATATGAATCACAAAATAAGTCTATATCACCCTTGTTTATCACATCATTAGCCATTCTACATATTCTAGTTCAATGGTGAATTCATACGCCATAATTGGTCCTATAGACTTTGGTCCTATTAAAACTAACATTAAAAATATCCCTTTCCATAGCATTAATTGTAGTTACATGAATGCCAACCTTCACAAGGAGTTTTGAAGAATCAATACAACCATTTGACATGGTAAACAAAGTTGAAATATCGAAATATTTTCTTCTAAGCGCCAAACAGGTAAGATTTAGACGATTCATGATTTCAATGCAGTCAATTTCCTCAAAAGGGATATGCAGTTTCAGACCAATTCCCCTAAGCAATCTCCGTTGAACTCTCTCTACCTTTTCACAATGAACCACATAATGAGGATGCCATATGCAAATGACATACTTTAAATCTGACTGTATCAGTGGACAATACATTTCTTTGAAAACATAGACATTGACGAGCCCACGCAGGATCCGGAAAACAAAACCCAACATTCTCATAGCCTTATTTGTGACATCATCAATGTGACTTATGAATGATAACTCCGCGTTTATCCAGAAACCAAGGTCTTTCTCTCACGTTCAACTCAGTCCAGGCAATAACAGAAAGGGATTCCTCGATCTTCTAAAGGAAATTACCTTGCATTTATTTGCATTCAATGTCAAATTGTTGCTCTTACACCACCTGTCAAGATCCCCCTGCAGCAACCTACATTCAGCTTGTGATTGAATGACCGTAAAGGGCTTCAGATCATCAGTGAAGGCAAGAAACCGAAAACACCATGGCATTAAGCTTTTTTATAAGGATGTCATGATCAACCCTGTCGAAAGCCTTCGAGAAATCAGTGTAAACTGAGTTCATCTGTGATTTCACTGATTTTCATAGCATGCTGCTTATTTATCATTATGGATTTAAAAAGAGGAGCAACCACCCTTCAACGACACTCTAAAAAAATGGACAATAATTTTCAATGATTGATCTGTCCCCATTCCTAATAATTGGTGAAACATAAGACAGTTTCCAGCATGTAGGAAAGCTTCCACTTACCAACGACAAGTTAAAAATCCCACACAAAACCTTAGCAAGAACTACAATTATGCAACAAAACAACAGGTATATTATCACGGCCTGGAACCAAATTTAGATTTAAATCTGATATCTTGTTACAAGCATCCATGACAAGAGAGCTGCAGATTACCAATCGAGACAGATCTGTCACAAACAAATGTATCATCTAAGCTCGGATAATTGGAGTAAACTGATGAGAAGAGAAATGACTGTTTAACAACTCTACAATTTCTTCTGTATCACTGCTCTCATGCTTATCCAGACTCATATACTGTGGATAATCCGAATTACCCTTTTTAGAGTTTACAAATCGCCAAAATGATTTTTTATCAGTCAACTGACTTTCCACGAGTTTTAAGTAAGAGATGTAATGTAATAAGAGGAATGTGATAGTCTCGACACCACGCTCTCAATTCTGAGGAAACAGTGTAGTCAGTTCTCTAGTACCTACCTGAAGATAAGCGATGGGCTTTTTTATAAGATTCACAAACATGTCTCTCTAGACGAACGTTAATTTTGAGATCGTTGTTCATTTTGTCTTTTCTAATATCCTGGTGTCCCCATCTCTCATGATACAACTCTGTAATAAGGAACTACGAACATTTTCTGTAATGTTGATCTCAACGAGACGTGTTTCTGGTTAATCAATGGTTCAATGTCAAACTTATATAATGTACTTTCAACAACTTGTCTTGTTCCTCTTATGATAATGTCTCTCTGTACTTCCAAATCGTATCTTGTAGCAGTTGATTTAAAAATACTGTTCAATTTTCTGTCTTGAGCTGTCAAACCAGAGACCAAATTTTTAGAAATTTGTGGTACATACCAAAACCAGACATCAATGAGTGTGATTTTCCTTTGCCCAAACAGTCGATTGTATATTGTATATTTGAATCTAGATCAGTCTTTTTTCTAGCACCTGTAACTGTGACGGAACTAGCTATTGCCCCTTCTTGGGCTTTAGTCAAACCGCACCAGGGATGCCAAAAGTTTTTACTTTGACTGACTGTAAAATTTAACCACTAGGTGTTGGATCATTTAAGCCTTGTATTGGGTTAGGGGTGCATTGATTCTCATTTATACAAATAAAACGCTGAAATAGAATAATTATGAATTTGATTAATAAATGAAAATAATTCGGTATAGTCAGCAATCAAATCCTATCTAAAAATTCCTAAGAGCACAACAAATAGTTCGTCAACTTCAATCAGTTCACTGTAATTACAAAATGTTTATTGATCCTTGAAAGTTCTTTTATTTATTGAGAGTTAACAATTTGAGCACTTTTCTGCGTAAGTCTGTAAACAATATGTGCAAGAAAAGTCTCTATATATGCTCAGTTTCTATATACAAATGTACAAATGTTAATTTAACGAGTGTGAAAGCAAACCTCTGCATAAGCGTTAGAGAAGACACTTCAATTGATAGTGCATTTCAAGCGAATCACTAATCAGTATTTATTGTTCGACTGTTAGAGAAATTGTAACGGTCTTACTTGCTTAATCCGGTTCATGCAGATAAATCCACAAGGCGATTATTTATCCATTTATCACTATTCACACTGGCAGCTAGGGAAGTTTCCACTGAGATGAAAACTTGAAAACCCAACGATATACAGGTGCGTTGGAGCCCGGCAAGAGTGAGAGAGAGAGCCAAAAACAATCGCGTAGGAGAGAATTTTGCTCGATCGAGGTGACTTGCAACAATTAGGGGTTAATTACATGAATTGTATTAATCAATAATATAGACCATGTCAGGCCTTGAGACACAGAGAGTAGTATTTTTACTATAAATCGCGCGTACTAACGGGGTTTTGCTTCTGGAGAGCATCAGGGGGGCGCGAACTCTTCGCTTATTCTAATGTTACTGAAGAATGTACGTCGACTAGACTCTGCCAGGGGAGCAGGTCGCAAAAACTAGGGATTTTGTATGGCCGCTGACCAATCACAGCGGCGAGACAGGTTCACTACTTACTTACCGAAAAAGTTTTTCACACGCTGCTAATTAGTTTTTTCATTTATTTTGGTCTTGTTATCCTGACATGACGACATAAATTAGGATTGTCACCAATTTCTGATGTGGATGATTTGTTTTCTAACAAATAAAAATTACATATTTGGTTGTTTTATTTTGCAGTTGTAGGAAAAGCATTGTAATAAACTCGTTTGAAAACCTTTTTTCACACTGGCTCGACTTGTGGAACTCGCCTACGGTTCGTTCCAGCAAACTGTCTCGCCGTGCGAAAAAAGTGGTTTTCAAAACTTGTTGTTTAAATAACTATTACGTTTACAGTAGTGAAATCTCGCAGACTTCTTCAAATCATTAGCTGGTTTGTTATGAACTCTCGCCATAAGACCTTCTAGAGTACTTTCCCATTTTTCACTTTCGGTACATATTTTTTCAAAAATAAAAAGCTGAGAAGCTAATTCTTCAAGAGTTTTTTCCGTATTTTTCGTTAACAGCATCCAACTAGACTTGAAATTTTCATACTGACTTGGAAAAATGTGCAAAAGTTTGCAAATCATCATCAAATCTGGCTGTTGACTTAAATTCTTTGAAACAAGTCCATTATTTAGCTCGTTAGAGAAATTCTTCTGAGTTTTGCAATATGTGTTGACACATCTTCTCCAAAGAACCAATCAAACGAGTAAAAATTTAGGCATATCTAATTTATAAAACTGGTCTTTAGATGACGCTTCAAATTGATTTAGGAGTGCTAACCAAGTTTCACATGCTGAGTCCATTATTTGCTTAAAGAACTAGTGATCATGCCATGCTCTTGGCATAACTATTAGCATTTCTATAAAAATCTACTTTTTACTTTGTATTCTTTTAGATCTTTTTCAGTAGCAGTTTCAGAAATAGGGGTAGATTCAACAAGCGTACCTTGAATAACCTCTAAACATTTTTCATATCTCTTATATCGTTTTTCCACATTGGCCAATTTGCTTCTCCATTCAGTTGCTTAATACCTACCTGCCTAAACTTTGCCTCAACTAATTTTTAGGCAATTTTTGATAGGTACCTACCCATTTTTTGTTTTAATGTCAGCTGAAAGGTTCTTGTACGTAACTATTTATCACTTGACTTCTACTAGGTATTATAGATCTTCTTTGGATAATGTAGGCATATGCCTGGGCCCATAACCTCTTACAATTTGTACTTTTTAAGGTGTGAAAAACTTAATAATATACAAAATATTTATTTTCAACAAAATGTTTAATGATTATTGTTGTCGTTTCCAGATGAGTCAGCGATCATCGCAGCTGCAGCAGCGCGGACGCGGCACACGGCGAGCGGCGGTGTGGTGCCTGGCCATCGCGCTGTTCGTCCAGAGCGCGCGCGCCGGCAGCCCTTGGAGGCGCGGCTCCGGCCCGCTGCTCACCCATCACCTTTCCAAACGTTCCTTTTTCGATATCCAGTGCAAAGGCGTCTACGACAAAACCATTTTCGCCAAACTGGACCGGATCTGCGAGGACTGCTACCACCTGTTCAGAGAACCTCAGGTCCATTCACTTTGTATGTAAGTATTTCAATTCAACTTTCGTTATACGTTTAGGAAAGATCTTATAGTCGAAATTTGGTGTATCAGCGACTTATGGATGCGTTATTCTATACATACCTAATTCATCCCCAACCAAAACGAAAACTTTTTGAAAAATTATAGAGGCTGGAACTCTGCAACGAATAGCCATCAACATACGTATCTATATCTCTATCCACATCTCTTCTCTATTGGTAACAAACACCATCAAAAGATTATCTTAAAAGTATCCATAATGTAGAGTAATGATGAGCCTCTAAGAAACGCCTACCTACTCTAATTTATTCATAGATATATCGTTTCTTTGCACTCTACTCAATTGCTTATCTGCTTCTATGTAGGTTGAGTGAGCATTATGAACTCCGTTTCAAAAAAAAATCTTGTCTTATAATTCTGGCGGTATGCACTCTATAAAACTTAATCTAATCTAATCCAATCTAAATATATCAAATTATCCAAAATGAGAATAAATTCTCATTTTATGAATCGTGCAATTATTATGCACAGATTCCCATAAAAAAGCATCAATGGTTACTTTGTGGGCAGGCATAATAAAAATGACTCAAAAATATCAGGTGTTTGTTTGTCTAACAAATTATTTTTAGGTCCTACTTCCGCTAGTTGAAAAATAATTATGACACAGCATTATAATGCTTATCGTGAATAATTTTGCCCATTGACATTGTTATGGCGTAAATGTTTCGTAGCAATGTAGTAATTTAGATCATAATAATAATAATAATAATAATAATAATAATATTTATTATCTCCAGAAAAATTACATTCCAAACAGTTAACTAAGATAAATGTGGGGAATAATAGGCCATATTTGCAGCATCCCGCGCAAGCATGAGTGCTGTTGAGGCCCCAAAAAATTGCTTAAAATAAAATATTAAGAAAGGCTTATCTAAGATCTATGAATATGAAAATCAAGTAACGCACTTGATACTTAAACTGTAAGACGAAGAAAGAGAAGAAGGAGGTGGAAAAATAGAGAAAAGAAGGAAAGAAAAGAAAAAGAAAAAGAGGGCACATGGCAGAGAATAATATATATACTAGAGCGGAGAATAATATTAAAGCAGATAGGAATTTCATGATGTACCCAATTATTTATGTGCAGGAAATTAAGGGCGATTTATCTAGAGCAGGAAATATAATATATTATATTTTAAATTAGTTTTAATTTCATTCTTTTTTTAAAAACACCAACAGATGTAGAAAAATCAATTATTTCATATTTGTTAATGAGTGAGGCAATGGTATAGCTGAATGACTTTTTGAAGAATTCTTTATTGTGAGATGGTATTGTCAAAAGCTGTTTCCTGCGAATGTTTTAAATTATGAATGTCAGTTCGATATTTGATTTTATTGTGTAGGTATGGTGGAGTTTTAAATTTTATTAATTTATAAAAGAAGCATAGTGAGTGCAGACTACGCCTGTTAAACATACTTAACCAGCCCAATTCATTCAGTTTATGTGAAACTCGGTCTCTTCGTCTTATTCCACACGCAAACCTAATGCAAGAGTTCTGAACCTTTTGGACTCTCCTAACATCTATCGAATCCAAAAAAGGCCCATATAGGTGATCGCAAAAACTAAAATGCGAGAGAATTAAAGAGTCGCAAATCAAAGTTTTAGTTCTTTGACAAAGATAGTGTCTATGAGAGTATAAACCCCTCAAAACTGAATATGCTCTTTTTTAAGCAAAGTGTTATGTGTTCTTTAAATTTGAGTTTGCTATCCATGACAAGTCCCAAGTTTTTAGCCGAATTTTTAAATGATATCGTGTCTTGTCCTAGATTTAGTTCAATATTGCCTAAAAGATCATTTCTAATATTTTCATTACAAAACAGGAGAGCTACCGATTTGTTAGGATTTATTTTAAGCAAATGTTTATTTGATTCATCAAGCAACGATTTCAGATCTTCATTGATCAGCTTATTGGCTGCAGCTACTTCTGAAGGTTTGAAAGATAAATAGATTTGCGTATCGTCTGCGTATAAGTGGTATTGACAAAATTTTAATGATTTTATAAAGTTAGAGGTGAATATACTATACAAAAGAGGACCCAAAATACTACCCTGAGGCACTCCCGCAAAGACATTAAGAGATTCCGAATATTGTCCGTCAAGAGTAACTCTTTGAGATCTCTTTGAAAGGAATGAGGACACAAGTAGAGACGCCGACTTACTGAAGCCTACGTATTTTAAAATCGACAGAAGAATTTCATGGTGAAGCATATCAAATGCTTTTGTATAGTCCTAATAAATGAGCACACTAGCATTGCTGTTGTCCTGCGCCCGCACTATATCATCAGTTAAATCAGACAAAGCTGTTGAGCAGCTATAGCCCGCTCTAAAGCCGGATTGTTTGCTGGGTATTATGTTATTGTTGTTGAGGAATGTATTTATCTGAAGTTCCATAACTTTTTCAAGGATTTTTGAGAGAGTGGGTAAAATAGAAATTGATCGTAAATGACCAAACTCGGTAGGATTTTTAATTTTGGGGAGAGGAATTACATTGGCGGACTTCCAAGATTGGGGAAAGTGTGATTCACTTAGGCAGCAATTTATAATGTGTGTTATAAATGGAATTATAAATGGACAACACAAAGTAATCAGCGTTATATTGAGATTATCCGATCCTAGAGCTTTAGATTTGAGTTTAAGGAGAATTTTGGAAATCAAATATTCGCTAACTGGCTGAAAAAAAAAAGTTTCATTGACCAATAAATTATTTTTATAAAAGTTTATGAGTTCTTGGTTAGGTATATCATTGCTATTTGTTATTTGCGTAAAATACTTATTAAGTTGGTCTAAATTTGTCAGATTACTTGGTATGGGTGTTACTTTTTTTATTTGTTATGATTTGTTATGATATTAAGTTTTTTAAGTTAAGTAAGTAATAATAATAAAGCAGAGAAAGTTTTGATTATATCAAATTAATGCTTCCAAATTTGTTAATATTTATTTTGCATTATACAAATGAACAAAAAGCCAACATTACAAGCAATAAAATAAATCGGTTTAGTAATAGATATCATGATATGATATTCAAGTACCCATAATTAGTTTCAATGCAGACATTTATGTGGATTTTATAGGCATTTAATTTTTTTTAATTGCAATAAATTATTTATTACCATTAATCAGAGTCGGATTTTCCATTACAAAAGTAGATACTTAATAAACCAATTTATTATGGTTGTTCTAAAAGTGATGTAATGCTGTAGAATGGATTTGTTTTATTAAAACTCAGATTATTTTTGGATATTCTGTGGTGGAATGTATTCAACAAAATATTCTGTGAAAAGTTATTCCGTAAATGTCGTGGATGTTTCAGATTTAGAAATGAAAATCATAGTTATGGTTTTGCCAAATAAGTCGTGCCACAAAAATATGGTAGAAATATTATTGGGGATGATATACACATCACAAACTGAAAAACCACATGTTCAGGACGGGGTTTAAGGGTATAGAGACAAGCTCCTGAGACCTGAAAGGTTTGATACTGATCCCAGCTCATCAAATGCAGCTTAGGAATGGAGTCACTGGAAAACTACATTCCAGAACTTCATGTCATCAGTTACAGACGTAGATTGTAAGGCACAACGTTTTTGGCCCATAGGCCCTGTTATACAATAAGATCTTGAACATCAACATCACACGCTTTATCACTTGAATTGGCTTCAAAACATTCCGAGGTATACCAAACAGCTTCAACAAGTTTCATCAATTCTAGTAACGCAGAAAATCCTCAGTGCAGCCACAAAGAAATACTGTTTTGAGTGTACATGCTACTATCGTGGAAATAGAAGAAATGATCGCTCTCTTTGACCTGCCCTGCATGCTACATGCAAACAATGCAGTAAAAAAGGTAATTTCTCTACTGTTTGTCAAAGTTCAAATCGTGGTACAACTGCATTTATTTCGTCTCAAACATTGGCATCTGTTTCTGAGAGTTTATCAAAAACTGCGGTGCCAGTAAAAGTCAATCAATTTTCGGCAGATGCGTTATTAGATACCTACTGGCAACTCTGAGACTAACTTGAATGACTTATTTGTTTTATCCAATAATCTCCCGATTCAACCAATGGCTCAAACTTCTCTGTGTGCACAAAGCAAAGGATTCTGCGTTGTCATTGTTGTCAACCTTAGCATTCTTGATCATCAGTACGCAAACCTAAAAATTTCGGTTCTACCAGACCTCTTCTGAGGATATTATCGTTGGTCATGATATTTTTGAGCAGCATTAAATGCTGACCTCTCATTTTGGAAAACAAAAATCTGCAATGACTGTACTTGAAACAAAGCACTGTTCTCTCCGCAATCTATCATCGCAATGTAAACCGATCGCTACAAAATCGAGAAAATTTTCACATATTGATGCAAAATTTATTTCAAGTAAAGTACAAAAGCTTCTTTCAGAAGGTATCATTGAAGAAAGTACCTACGTCTTCCTGGCGAGGACAAGTTCTTGTGACAAATAACAAAAACCATAAAATCAGAATGGTCGTTGACTATTCTCAAACAATTAACAAGCTTACGTATTTTGACGCTTATCCTTTATCTAATATCGAAGCATTAGTAAAAGCAGTCTCAAGGTTTGACGTTTATAGCACTTTTGACCTACAAACTACATGTTATCAGTAACATCAGTTCCTTATAAGAGATGATGAAAAACAGTTCACTGCCTTTGAAACTAATGGAAACCTGTATCAGTTTAATCGTATCCCTTTTGGTGTGACTTACGGCCTAGCTTGTTTTCAAAGAATCTTAGATACAATAATCAGGCGAGAGAATCTAGAAGGCCTATGCATATCTCGATGATTTAACAGTTTGTGGAGAAAATCAAGACGACAATAAGAATCTATCAGCTGTCAAAAAGTACATACAATCTAACTATAAACGAAACTGAACACTCGTTGAACAAAAAGTCAATTACGACTGGGATAATAGAAAACAGAACACTTGAACCT